CAAGCAAGTCAAAGCATCTCATTTAAAATTAGAGGATGCTTCCTCATTTTTTATTTCACTTTATTACTTACTCATAAAATATCTTTAAATTTTTTTCAAATTGCCTCTATTCAGGTTTGAGATTAAGAATAAATAAGGGCATTCTTGTATATGACCCTAACCAAATGATCGGAGTATCCTCTAGTAAAATGCTTGTGCTTGTTCAAGTTGCTTGTTTCCTACTTGAACATGAGCGATTTGGAAAATTTTGGAGATATTTGTGGACGAGGTATTTGAGTGAAATAAAAATTTAAAAGTATATGTTATAATGTTAGTTAGGATCTTTTAAATCCTTAATGATAGGAGGGGTTTTTATCCTATTTAATGATATTTTCTCAGCTATTTATTCAAATTCATTAGATTAATAATGGAATTTAGTTCCTAGTACCTGTGCTAGAAAAGCTGAGTAAGGATCCTGCATGACCTTTGGGACACTCGAGCTTGGCTCTGGGCTCACACAAGCAGGCATTGCATGTGTCGCCAGTAATGCAGGCGGCATGAAGCTTGCCGTTGCTGGGTGGATGAGGGGTGTAGGATGGGCACCACTTGCGCATGCATCCATGACTGACATGGCCATGCCTAAACTTGGCATGGCCATTCCACCATGATGTCCAAACATGGCTTGAGTCAAGGGCATGGCCATAGGCATCATCATGTGTGGCATGCTCCTAAGGTTTATCATCTGCACTTGTGCTTGCAATTGCTTCAAATACTCTATCACCTCGTCGAGCATGGACGCTTTATCCGTCTAGAAAACAATTGAGATGTGAGTAAAAATGACTTGTATCAAGAAAAAAAAAAAAAAGAAATAAAAAAAGACTTAGAGGGTAAAGATGCAATATTCCTACTTTAAAAAGATAAGATTGAGAAATGGATTGTACACAATGAGACAGTCACCTGTTGTGCACAAGCAGTTACTTTTCAATTGGCGAAAGTCACTAAAGAGATCAAAACCCTCACTCAAAACATTGCAATTAACATTAAAAAGTTCAATTTTTAATTTTCATTTTACTTATATGCTTCATCAAAAATATCATAGAAATACCTAAATTGGCCCCCAAAAAAAGCAAGAAATTTTAGTAATTTCAGAGTGTATTAATAACCACTCATTTGGTTGAGCCACTTAGGCCAGTCAAATTACTAAATGCCTTGCTTGTTTAGGTTCTTAACCATGTATTGAGGCAATTTAGGTATTTGTAAGATATATTGTTTTGCAGGTGACTACAGTAAAAATAAAGAGTAATATCTTTGACTTTAAATTGAGAAGTGTATATGACGAGACTATTTATTTTGGATATGAGGAAGTCATAATCATTGTTAATTGTAGAATGTAAAATCAGATAGGTAATGATGTATACTCATTGAGCACAAAATCCAAAACAAATTTCATCAAAAGCTATGATACATTTTAATATGTTAAATTTCACATCTAATGGCTGAAAAAAATTGTAACGTGCTAAAAAAAAAAAAATGTAACGTTCTAAAAAATAAATGGTCTTGTTAGGTGATACTTTCCCGTGTAGGGAAGCATTTGACTGGCAACAATAGTTTGGATATTTTTACTCGTAGGAGAGAGAGAGAGAGAGAGAGAGAGACCTTGCTAGCATTAGGTACGAGCTTTTGTAGAGCTTTCATCCTTTCATTGATTCTATCCCTTCGCCTCTGTATCATTCATGGCTTCTCTTATGTTAGTTCAAATCGTTGATGCCAGTCACAACCGGGAAAATTTACCCCTTGTCGAAAAATGAATTTCCCGGCAACTTTAGGTGCATTTTTAGTCATCCATTCTTTGAAAAGGAAGTTTTGACATAAAAAAGCATAGGATTGAATTACCCTCTCTGACTGATTATGAACTGTTGCTGATCGACTTCTTTTAGTCGATTGAGAACGTCCAGTGTCTGTTTTGTTTTCGACTTCATCATCCTAACACACATGAAATACACAAATGTAATGTATATTTATATAATTAATGCTAATGTGTATATGGTGGATTTTGTATGTGTCTCCCCATAAATATAATTAATATATCTAAAAACATCTAGCCGTCTATTAGAGTTTGATACATGACTGAGAGTGAGTTGACACTACATAACTTTGTTATTATGTCATTTGTTCTTAATAAAATTCAGACAACTGTGAGCACTAGACACATAAATTATACATCAAACTATAATAGACGGCTAGATGTTTGATGTATAATTTAAAAGAAAAAACACACACACACAAAAAGCCTAACAACAAGCCAGAAAATGAACACAAACACACAAATGCACACAAAAGCCCTAAGCAAGAAATCATACACACACAAAAGCTCCCAAAACCCTAAAAGCAAGCAAGAAAACACAAACACAAACATTGAGAGAGAGAGAGAGAGAGAGAGAGAGAGAGAGAGAGAGAGAGAGAGAGAGAGAGAGAGAGAGAGTAGTACGTACGTAGTACGGTACGTACGTACGTACGTCGTACGTACGTACGTACGTACGTACGTACGTACGTCGTACGTCGTACGTACGTACGTACGTACGTACGACGTACGCGTACGACGTACGTAC